TTGAGTATATCGAACGCTCCTGCGTTGCAATTGGCCCAATGGATGTGATTTTCCAATATTATTATGCGTTCAAACTTTTAAGGTATTTCGTCTGAAATAAGTATATGTATATTGCATTTCTGTAGAACAATGATTCGCACCCATTTTGAAATTGCCACCTACTATACTGTAAAGCTTCTAGGACATTCACTATAGAACCGGGTCATTGTTTCCGCCAGGGAGTGGAGAGGAAAAAATTTATATCGCTTTGCGAATAACCGTGCTATGAAATGCCGCACAACTGGAGAATTTCAAGAACGGATATAACACTTTCCTTAGGACCACCAAACCTTAATCTTAGCAGACAAATGTGCCAATGAAAATCGTAAACGTGAATTGTTAATGAAAATGTTGGACCAAAAAGATTCAATAAAATATATAAAAATTTTGGGCGGGACGAAGTTCGCCGGGTCTGCTAGTTTTCTATATTAATAAAAATATTGTGTTCGTATGTCACGGTCGTCAAAACTCGAGAACGGCTGAACCGATTTGAATAATTTTTTTCTTGTATTGTTCGGTATAATACCAGAACCAATGATATCACAAAAAATTGGAGGGTTGCCACCTATTTGAAAATTTTTAAACCCAATTATATTGATAAAATAAATAAATTATTACAATATGGGTATCAAATTAAAGAGTTTTAAGAAAGATAACTGCTGGATATATTTTTGACGAGGGTTGTCACCTATTTGTAAATTTTAACTCAGACAAATTGATAAAATAAATGAATTATTGCCATGTGGCTGTAAAACTAAAGAGTTTTAAGAAGGCGTACAGGCGAAAATATGTTTGAGGAGTGTTGCCACCTGTTTGAAAATTTAACTGAAGTACATCGATGAAATATTACATTATGGGTATCAAATTAAAGAGATTTAAGAAAGATATCTGTTGGAAATATTTTGGAGAAGGGTTGCCACTAATTTTTAAATTTTAACTCAGTTAAATTGATAAAATAAAGTAAATATTGCTATGTGGGTATCAAACTAAAGATTTTTAAGAAGGCTTACAGTCGAAACTATTTTAAAGGAGGGTTGCCACCTGTTAAAAAATTAAGCGCAATTTTATTGATAAACTAAATGATATATTACAANAATTTTAACTCAGTTAAATTGATAAAATAAAGTAAATATTGCTATGTGGGTATCAAACTAAAGATTTTTAAGAAGGCTTACAGTCGAAACTATTTTAAAGGAGGGTTGCCACCT